TTTTTTACTTAATTATATTTCTCTATTCATTAGTTGGTCACATAACTATATCTAATAATCTAACTTATTATTTATTTTCCTTACATAAATTATACTCTCTTCGTCCCAATTTATATGAAAGTGTTTGACTGGACATGAAGTTTATGAAATAAAGGAAGGCTTTTGAAACTTGTAATTTTAAATAAATCATAGATATTTGTGGGTTAGAAATCATCTCATTAATGGTAAAAAGAAAAATCTAAAGTTGAATTGTTACCAAATATAGAAAGGGACTTACTAAAAAAAAGGAGTCACTTAAGTTGGGACGGAGTAAGTATGTTTTCTAGGTTCTCCCATTTCAGTTGTGATGCAATCAACGTTACATTTATTTAATTTTCTGTACTTTATAAAATTAAGTTCNATATATATATATATTATTAAGGCTTTGCTTTAGGTCTCGGATGATATTGGGCCGCCCCTGAGAGTAGTGTGTATGTAGAGCTTACCCCTACCTAGTGAAGGTAGAGAGTTTGTTTCTAATAGATATAGAAAACAAGTACAGTAATTGTGGAATAACTCACGTCGTAGGTAGGATAATCGGTGGGAGGCTCGAAAGAGTAAAAGAGGCCACAACAGCCTTTGAGAGTGTCCACTATGCTGTGATAATCTAAGGGATCAGCATGAAAACATATCAACTTCTTGCTTTTGCTTTCGTCCACATTTCCACCAGCATATTTCCTCTTAAAACGCTGCATTTCATCTGTCCAAATTGAAAATTCAGGATCAGGTTTTCAATTACTGTAAATAATAATATCATTAGTATACTATCTTGAATTAGAGGAGACAAAATGTCCCCTATTTATGACGGTGAAACTCAACAATAATTGTTTTCTTGAATGGACTAATAAGAAAATAATGTTAAACCAAGTGGAACAGATGGGAGTACTTCACAAATGGACAAGGAAAAAAAAAGTAGTATAATAAAGCCAACTATAGTTTGCAAATCCAGTCTTGATCACTTTAACAGCTTTTTTGCTTAACCTTCACCTCTTCCCATCACACAGCTCATCCCACTCCAAAAAAAAAAAAAAAAAATTAGGGTGTGAATTTAAATTGGAAACGGCTACACCCCTTTTTTTGTTTTAGTGATATCCTATTCTACTTCAATGTAAATCCTCTTAAAATTTTAACTGAACTCTTCTGCCAAATTTTCCCATTAGTATTAATAAGAGAAGAAACAAACCATGGTTTTGAAAAGCGGCGTGGACAGTGTAACCTCTGAGCAAGAGACGGTGTACGAGTGTGGATCCAAGCTGACCAGCTGCATCCATTACACAAACTTTCTTTGAACAAAACATTGAATCCTGCTCATTATACAAGTCTTGTGCAATAGTCATGACTCCCCCCGGCCAAATAAGAAGCAACCCCTTTTTCTCCTTTAAAATGTCAAGGCGGACTGGACAAATTGAAAAAGCAAAAGCTAGTAATAATAGGATAAGAAAAAGTGAGATGGTATTTAAAGAAGAAGGAAACTAAATCATTAAAAGAGTGTGTGGTTAAGTATATGGTTGGCAAACGAAGTAGAAGTAGTTAGATACAGCCTATACCAAACTAGTGAGGAAAAAAATGCTCTCTTGTATCGCGAAATCTGCATTAAATTCGTCATCTTTGTGGGCTCTCTTTATGTGTACAACACAAGAACTTACCTAACTGTCAATGAGCAGACGACAGAAAGACACACAAAGAAATGGGAATAAGCTGGGGCTACTTTTTAAAATCATGTGGCTCAAAATTCAATTTACAGATTTCCGAATTCTTTGCTGTTCACACGCTAAACATTTAATGTGATAGCCTAATTTAGTCGAAACGTAGAAAGGGAGAAAACTTAAATACTTGATATAACATGTTAATTTCTCAGAAATTAGTTGAGTGTTGTTGTCTGCCCTCTTTAATTTGGCTGCATTATTTATTGATCTCAAGGGCTATGCGAGCTGGCATAACCTCAGAGAAATTTATTCAAAAGTTTATTAATTGTTATTTTTCTGTTTTGTTTTTAATATAGTAAATAGTTATTAAAAGTTGAACTTGGATATGGTTGGTGTAAATGCCGGCCACCCTTGCTAATCACACACAGACTGTTCTTCTTGTTCATCTCTCTTGCGACTCTTAAACTGGTCCAACTTTTGGTGGGAAGACACGTTTTTATGTGACTTTATATTTAGGCGAATTCAAGATTTAAATTTTATGTGTTTAATATATAAGATTTTTGGTATTGAACCCATTATATTTTTAAAATTATGGGTTCATATCTACTATTTTTTGCAAATTTAATAAATTTTTACTTATAAATTATATTATGCGTCGAAAGTTATGGGTTCAATTGAAATCACTTTAACACTTCATCCACCACTGACTCAAAACTTAGGCAGCTGCATTGGTCGATTTGAGGGGCACAACTTGACATTTAGTGTAATACTTGGATTGACTCATATTCCAATATTTGCTTAAATTTTAATTTAATAGTGGTGCCCCCGTCACTTTTAAATCCTGGGTCCGGGTCTGCATATATATTTGATTTTTCATTGTTTGATGTTCTAGATCATATTCGGATAGAGAATAAGGCACGACTCTTGAAAGTAAGAAAGGTGGGAACATGCCTCACGTAAAGAGACTTTCCAACGTGTCATTATTGGGAATAAAGAGAGACTAGTTTTTTTAGAGTTTAATTATATTCACTAAATAGTACGTATAATTTTTAAACAATCAGGTTAAAATAACCTACAGCAACTGATAACTTTACGCCTAATTTAGTAATATAGAAAATAAGTTGGAGTCTAGGATAATATTTTTTTAATTGTCTGAGATCTGGGATTTGGAATACAGGGAAAATATGCCTAATTATGATCCTTTTTTTATCCTTATACTCCACAATTTTTCGTAAAGAGCAACTGCAGATAATATACGCTCGGATTTTAAGCCAAACAATAAGGAGATCCACGTTTTGAGCTCATACATCGATGTCGACAATTCAGATCTCTATATTCCAGCTCTCAGATTGTTTAATAGAGCAGAAAACTTGACAAAATTCTACTGTATTTGATTCAACCAGGTGAGACATTGAAATTATTGCACATAGCGTTTCTGTTAAAGTTATCACATGCAATAAGATAAAGAGAGGTTACCTTTACGGTAAATGGATGTTTGACTTTGACTATTGAAGAATTCAATACCTGAGAAGAGAGATTAGTCTGTTCACTTTCAGGACACAACTTTCACCCAGAGTTCATGGGAAAAATCTATAGCAAGGACAATTTCTATGCAGATATTGTGTCGTGCGAGTGGAATAGAACTAACAAATTTGATGTCCTTGGACATATTCAGGTTACAGACTAAGATGATAAATATGTTTCTTATAAAGTTACAAAGAAAACTCAGTTTAAAATTGAAATATCAATAAATAACCTGAAAATACTGGAGAGGGGTCAAGGTAACTTCCACTCCAGTGTCCAAAATTTTCCTTTGCAGTGCAAAATCTTTACACTAGTTAAAAATTGCTGATGTATTCTATGGCTATCATACAAAATCTTTTGGTGGGAGAGGAAAAGACCTTCCTGGCAAAGAGATTTCCGCACTTTGCAGGTGCAACCCCTTTCGATGAAGATCAGCAACACCAAGGCTCAACCCCTTTCAATCATCAAGCTCAACAAAGGGAAGCAACTCGATTAGTTCGTCAGAATTGCAACATCTTATGCCACTGAAGCTACACTGAATCGAAAGTGTCAGTCACCCCCTTCACTTTCTTACTAGTGGCATCTCTTGATTTGTTTTTTCGCTTTTTTGAAGATTTTTTTTCTTTCATTTCTTTGTGCTGCTGCTCTTGCTCCATTGAATCAATCTCACTTAACTGCTCGCCCTCTGCACCAAAAGAAAGTTTGGCATCCTTGTCCTCTGATTTCCCCTCATTATCTTCTGGCTCAATGACCGACATTCCAGTTAAAGTAAAGTCAAACAGGAACGTGCTTCTTTCTAATCTATCTACTCTGTTGAAATGCCTCTGAGAATAAGAAATAAGACCTTCAAGCAGTTCTCCAATACCCTTAATCTGTATAATGAGAAGGAAAACGGTAAGATCTCTCAAGGAAGCACTAGATAAGTAAAACTAGTTCCAAATAGAGCAAAACAGATAAAAGTGGTGCCTAGAGCACAGCATAGCGTTACAGAGTAGCACCAAGAGATTGACGCTAGACATGCTAAAGTCTAATGTATGTCTAATCAAGCAAGTATATCAAGTAGCCAATCAACTAAATGAACTTTCTTGCTATAAAGAAAAAATTCGAGCACTGAAAAGACTAATACACCAAGCTAATATATGCAATCATTTTCTTGATAGATATTATAGCATGTGATATAATAACAATTTGAAGGCTCGTTGAAGCAATGGAGAAACATTTCTGGAGGTCTCACCGCCCAGTTAGTGGACTTCGCTGGCATGGTAAATCTTCTGGAATATGTATCAATTTTAACAATTTATTTTTCTACGTTTGTGACCAAACTTTCCATGTACATTTAAGGGGAAGACACAATGGTACCTCAAGAATCTCGGCAGGTGAGAGAACACTGAATGCCCGGAAAAGAACAGATTGTGCAATATGACAAAACTTTGGCTTCGTGTTCCAATCCAGGACATATTCCAAAAGCAGGCGACGCTCTTCCTTAGCAAGAGCCTTTACTGCTTTTCCTATCTGATCTTGCGAATCGCTCTTCCTGCCAAGAGCTAGATGTTAGATGAAAGTCATGGTACAATAGCATTCGCACCATCAATAACCAAAAAGGGAACACAAAAATAGAGCCATCACTAAGAGAAAAGGTAAAAAATGGAGAGGTCAAGACTACCTGCAGAGGTCGCCAAATAACTCTAGAAGTTTATGTGGTCTGTGAAGCTCAAATGCAATCTGAATTGCTCTCGTGTATTCAGCATCTATTAAAGCATTTTCTAGCTCTTGACCCCTTAGAATGCCTTCCTCCTGCATGAGCAACATATTGATATCATCACATGAAGTTCTGTAGTAATTTTTCAGACACAACCACATCAGAAACAGACCGGATCTTCTTCTCCCTTCGTATAATATAGTAATAAACACAAATAAACTAACAGCTCATAGCAACTAATTAACTAACTCAATTATACTAATATGACTGTAAAATCATAGGCATCCTGACTTGTTCACAGAAGTAGTTCGCAAAAATCTCTCAAAAGTTTTAAAAGACAGAAGAATAGTAAAAGGTTATACTGTTAGTCTGATAAAATTAACTGGAAGTACTCCTTGACTCAATTACGAAGCTCGGGAGAAAGCAGCATTCTTCAAGAATTGCTCTAGACATTTGGGAAACAAAAGTCCAACGTGATCAAGCCATCAGGACCTCACTGGGGCATAAAGACGCCCATTAACAAAGTTTCTTCCACAGAAACTATGCCTTGGCAGAATTATTTTTCATCAACACCCAACAATGTTGTTCGATGAATATCACTTCAAGAGAAAATTGATATGATTACTTACTTCTTTACGAAAAGCTTCCTCTTTATCAGAAGCTGTTGAGTCATGCCACAAATTGATCACCGCATCACCACCGCCAGTTGCAAGCATTTCTGTTTTCTTACCAACAGCCAGGGCCCAAATCTGGATAGCAAGTTAAAGAGAAAACAAGATATTACCAATCCCATCTGCGTGGCAAATATCCGAGAAGAAAATGAACGAGTATCATTTTGTAAGAAAACAGTAAAATTGTCAGCAACTTTACAATGTATAAAACTACTGAACTAGCTAGCTTCGCTAACCTATCATTGTAAAGATGGTGCAAACCAGAAGCAAGACGAAATTATTCGGTCAAATAGCCAACAATCTCCCAATAGAGAGATTTTACAATCACATTCAAAGACCTAATAACATGCGGTACCAGAACGCAGCAACAAATAAAGTAATTTCATGCAGAGTACACATGAACATGCCAGAATATGCCAAGTCCATAAGAGCTCTACTTGAGAATGAATATTCATGCTTTCTTAAGGTTTCCTCAGAGCTTCTCGTCCCAATCGTCCGCGTCATTCAAATTTCTGTACCATTTTAAACTGCAGGTAATAGAAACTGGAGAGTCACTTCGTCAATCAACAGGCCAGGACCCAAACTTTGCTCCTCAGTTGCAATGAAAATGTCAAATTCAAACGACAGTTGGAAAAAAGCATTCATCGAATCTTTGGTCAATCACTCAAATATTGATATATAAATGGCCAATGGCACTGGTCAAAAACCAAATTAACTGCGCAGGTTTATACTCATTAATTCAGAACAATTGGATATTCCAAGGTGGAGATAATGTAATGCTCTTTTTCAAGTGAATGGACATAAATAAATAACATAAAAATTTGAGCACCTTATCCTCATGTTGGTCATACGTGGCAATACACTCATTTGTCTTTACTGTCCACAGCTTCACCAAACCATCAGCACCTGGAGAGATGGTCATACTTTTTAGCAAAAGTAGGCGATGAGAAACAGACATATCAACACTTAAATAAAGCTACAATGGCTTCCAGAATGTCATATTACCACAAGAAACAAACTGGGTGCCACGGGTAAGAAATGTTGCTCTTAAGACACTTGATGTATGCCCTTCAAATGTTTTCAAACATG